AAAAGGTGGAGATAAGGAATTGTGATCGATCCCATAAAAACTAAAAACAAATCTATGAACAGCGCAGGGCATAAACAGGGATAGACAGTAACTTTGAAACCATAGTCGCCCGCCGAGCTAGCAATTTCTAATTTCTACTAGCCCTGATCATGAATTAGTTGTCCAGCAAAGGCTGCTGGCCGAGTCGCGTAGCGATGAGGGGGTAGGTGCGGGAGGGGGTTTCCCCCTCCTGCTGGTGGGGTACGGGGGCCTCCCCCGGAAAATTTTAAAAATTGAGATGCCAAATCCTGCATTTTGGCTGTATTTTAGGGTAAAATTATATGTCACTTCGTGATTGAACCAAAGACTTTTTTCAAATTGAAATATTCCGCATTTACAGTCATTTACGGTATTCCGAATCACCTTTTACATTTTGACTGGAAGCAATCTGATTAAAAAATCTATAACTGGTTATTTGGCACTTTCTGCAAAAATTAAGAATTATCTGCTTATTGATTTTTACTTGTTGATTTTAATTTAACTTAATCACACCCCCTTCCGCATGCACTGTTGCAAAACAGCGTTGCCAGAAGTGTATCATGCAGAATAGCAATTTCCAACAAAATAATGGTTACAAAAATTACTTGACTATATATGTTGTCCTGTTAATATAATTATTTCATTTTTTTTTTTTTTAAATATTGTGGAGTTTTATTTCAATGCAAAACAATTAATATGGAAAATAAAATTTGTATACTCCTATACTCATACTCCTCGTAGGTTACAAAAACTAATAATTATGATGATAAAAAATGTATGAAAATGAATTAAACTTATTTGATAATGTTTAGTTAAGACATCAAAAACATAAATTATTACATATTTCTATATAAAATGAACGTACGCATGCTTGTATAGATCTGTGTGAAATGTATTTCAGTTTATGATAAAAAGACAAACATTGACCAATTTACCTCAGGCTAGTCTTTAATAACTGTTGCTTTGTCATACTTTAACTTTTATGAATATTCTTTGCATTTAAAGAAAGCTATTGTTACAAAAATATCTTACATATTCAACAAGTGTGCAGCGTGTGCAATTTGTCCAGTTGCGGTCATATACACACATGATTAGAAATAACCCAAACTGAAGGAGACTACGAATGCAGTATTTTTTTTTTTTTTATTTTGAGGTGTTATCAAAAACAATTAATGCTCATGGAAGCTTTTAAAAATGTCAGTTATCAATCTGTCAATTCCTAATACATCTTGTCCAAACCACCAACAATACTATGACATTGATGAGGAAAATCATGCAATGATTTCAACACGAATATTTCTTCAATAAGGATAAGTTAATGAATTATATTGTTAATTTTTAAATGAACGATGATGTTCATCTCTTTATTTTTTGTATCTGATAAGAATATTATACCAAGTTTTAATAATTGGTTGGTTGTCACACGTGTGGATGTGTCATGTGAGTTACAGCGATAAGGTAAATTACTAAGAATCGCGAAACGCGGGGTGATTCGGAATACCATAAAGGACTTAACAAAATCGGGACTTGTACGTTTTTAAATTGATTTTTACAATTGCTCAGAGTGAGTCAGAGTGGTTGGTAACAAGTAGAGCTTTTTAAAAAAGCTTACCGTCTTTAGCAACAACCTTAAACAGTAAACTGACCTAAACCTATCAGGCTGTATAATTCTTGAAAATTTCTTGGCTTTGTATTTCTTCATTAGTTTTTTTCTGACATACATGTAATCCCTACCAAGTGAAACTAGTGAAACGTTAACAGATGCTCGGCTGTCTCCGTAAACTGAGATCATTCGGCAAAAGTCGACTGATTCCGTCACCTCTGTGATAATTATGTAGATGACGTACGAATCGGCCGAGGTGTTGCCGAGTGCTGCCGAGATTAGAAAGACAGTGCAAAACAAAGGGAAAAAGAATACATACTTGTAAGCTGTAAAGCTTGCATGCAATAAAGATCAATTCTGTTAACAATGAAAATATAGAAAGACTTTTTGGTAATTGCTATAAAAAAAAAAGAAAGAAAAAAAAAGAAAAAAAACTAGCATGTTCTTTCGAATTAATTGCTGCCAATTTCCACTGTTCGTTTTGTCATATTTTTTTACGATTGAAATTCTTGAAAAATTGTTAAGTCGTACGAAAATTAGACCATCAGAAAATTATCTCCTTTGCCTTGAGCAGCATTTAACCAATGAGATAATTGACAATTTTCTCATCATGCAATTTCTACCAATCACAAAAGAGAGGAAGTGCATAGTCCGAAAACTGTAAAATACTTCAACTCTGTATACCGTCTTCCAAGGAAGACGGTAATAAATTGCAGTAGCCCCGCAGGACAAGCTTGAAGATATGTTTAGTAGCCCGACCTCAATTTTCAGTTGTCCCGGGCTTGGAGGCTACCGTAGTGTTGGTCCCTGATAAACACGTACACTCAGGAATTCCAGAGGTGAAAGATGTGAAACAGATTTTTGATTATAAAGGTTTAAATTAAAACAGTTGAATTCTATGAACTTAGACTTCAACCATATTTAAATAGGTACAAGTGTAGCTTTTAAAAACGCCTTACCGCCTTTAGCATCAACCTTAAACAGTTACCTGAATACACACATCAGACCGTGTTATTCTTGAGTATTTCTTCGCTTTGAAATTCCTCATCAACTTTTAACGGACATGAGTCCTACAATATGAAAGACAATACAAAAAACCCATAATAAACAAACAAACAAGCAGAAGAATTGATATAAGCTGTAATGTTTGCATGCAATAAACGGTTTCTGTTTTACCATTTTAATATATAAACACTTTTAAGTAATTGTCTTGAAAAACAAAGTGCTAGTTAGGATTCATTGTCATTTTTCTTTGCTAATTATGTTGATTTATTTTATTTGTTTATTTGTTTGTTTGTTGTTTAACGTCCCTCTCGAGAATTTTTAACTCATATGGAGACGACACAACTTTGTTTAGGAGGGCTGCAAATTTATACCAGGACTATACTCGGCGCTGAGGGCCATCGAGTAGAGAGAGATCTTTTTTTGTGCCTACACATACAGCGACACGGGATCTCGATTTATACTCTCTCGTCCAAAGGATCGGTATCCAGGTCCTTGGTGGATTCGAACCTACCACGTAAAGATCAGTTCCTTACTCCGCTACTCTAAAGCAGACGCTCTAACAACTTCGCCACGCGGGCTTGAAAATCTTGAAAAATTGTCCGACGAACACACCAGATAATCATCTCCTTTGCCTTAAAGAGCATTTCTAACAATGAAAGAATAGAAAATCTTTATATTGTGCTTTTTTACCAATCACAAAAGTGAGGAAGTGCATAGTGCCAAAACTGTAAAACACTTTAACTCCTTATAAATCTTCCAGGCGGTAATTATGATCGTTTTTGAACTCAGGTATCATACATTTTCAGAAAACATTGTTTCTCTTATGCACCCGTTACAAGGCGAAATGTAATAACAATGCAAAACGTAATAAACCGGGATTATTGCATTTTGCGTTAAAGCATATTGCGTCTATATCAACGCAGAATGTAATAACGCAAAATGTAAAAGCAGATTTTTTAGGATTATTAAATTTTGTGTTATTACATTTTGCATCAAGATCAACGCAAAATGTAATAACGCAAAATGTAATAACAATTTTTTTGGATTATAACATTTAACGCTGTTACATTTTGCGTTGAAATTAAGCAACATGCAACAACGCAAAATGTAATAACACACATTTGGGTCAGTCAGGTTTAGAATAATTTTCAATTGAGTAGTGAAAGAAGAATATAAACGGAAAGAAATAAAACAAAACGAGAAACAATTCTTACATTAGGCCTAATTTCATCATATATTGATTTCATTAGCCATTAAAATCAGTTGATAATCAAATCATAGGTGTTGCAAATTAGAACGTGCGTGCGCAAGTGTGTGTGTGTGTGGGGGGGGGGGGGGGTATTTCGTTGAACAGTGTATCAGTTTGCTTTTTAATAGGCACATGCATCAAATTTAGAAAAGAAATCGATTTATTTTTACTGGCAGGTTTAAATATAGCAGGAAGGGGGTTTCTTAACAATAAAGATTTCATACTGTTTTACAAATCACCAACAAAAATAAAATTCTCTCTCTCTCTCTCTCTCTCTCTCTCTCTCTCTCTCTCTCTCTCTTCAATAATAAAATGGATAGTTTTTGCATGCGCATAAAAATACACAGATCAACATACGAACTAACCCCTTCAATCGCTTCTCCTTGCCAGACACACACACATGCACTTTTAATTTCTAACCAATGTACACATGCACGTCGAACATGCATAAGAAGAGCTTTTAATGGACCCATAGGTCAATCTTTGGCAATTAAGAATACTAGTGATGGATATATAATACATACTGATTTAAATAAATAGACATGTCAATCAAAGTTAAGTTAATGTTTCATAAGTATTCGAATAAAAATGTTAGAAACTGATTTAAAAAAAAAAAAAAATCTACAATTAGATTTAATAATGTCCGTAAAAGCCATAACATTTGTTTCATTGTCATATCTGTCTATTTAGTAATTCGAGCTTTCCCATTTTTTTTTTATGTTTAACTCAATTTTGTAATGTTTTGCAATGAACACAATAAGAAAAATTAATTACATTTTGTTTTATTACACTTTACCTTGTCCTAAACACAAACATAAAGTAATGCAAAATGTAACAACCAAAAAGTTCATTATTACTTTTTGCGTTAACCCCAACGCAAAATAGGATAACGCAAAATGTAATGATCCAAAAATCGCGTTATTACATTTTGCGTTATTACATTCTGCGATGATCTCGATGCAAAATGTTATAACGCAAAATGTAATAATCCCAGTTTATTATATTTTGCTTTGTTATTACATTTTGCGTTGTAACACCCCTGGTTATCATTAATTCATTTATTGTTTTAGTAGTTGTTTGCATCAATATATTATCAAATCAGTTTTCTAAAATATATAATTTTAGCACTTTGGCCTCCTTACCGATTTCGTCAATTCTACTTAGATGTATCAAACAGCTCAGCAAATGTATCATCAACATTGCTTAGGACACCCTGTTACCAAGACGAAACTCCAGAATTAGAAATACCCCCAGCTTTGATTGACATTCCTTGCAGGCACACAGCAAGATATGTCATTGTTGAGACGACGTATGAGGCTTCAGAAGATGAGGAAGGGGATGGTGCTGTATTGGAAATTTGCGAAATAGAAGTTTATGGTATTTTGTTTTCCTAGAGCATATGTGTGGATGTGATAATTTGATATTGTACGTAGGACTATTGCTTCTCCTACAATATATCATGTCCAGTACAACATTTGAAATTATTGCAGGATGTTGACGTTTGAGGGTATTGATTTAAAAAAGTAGATTGTTTGTGCTAATTCAATTTTTCCATTAGATATCTCTAGTAGGTAGAACATTAATTTGGGGAATAATTTAACAGTTATAATTTTTTTTAGCAATCTGTCTTACTTCAGCAAAACATACACATATTAAAGCTGGTTATCTCTGTAGAATTTCTAAATATTAATGATAATTCAAAGTAAAATAATGCAGGTTCAATGTGCTTGCAAGAAAAGTATCAAAGAAATCATCAAAATTTCCCCGAAAAAAAATTATTTTTTATTGGTTAACCAGGGTAAAGTTTAGCTGTGGTGTTTTCACTCAATATTTTTTTTTTTTTCATTATTTACAATATATTCAATTCTTTTCAGGAATAAGATTATAGCAGATTAAAAGATTATAAGATTTCAGCAATAATAGATTAGAATTGGCGGTTATTTTCTACTGAATGTGTAATCTAAATATATTATGATTTTCAATTTTCTGAGTTCTAATCGCGCTCACCATAATTCTTAATTATAAATAGAACTGTATTTTCTTTTGTATAACGTTACCATACCGTTTAAAAAGAAATTAATAATACGCAATATTTGAAAACGATAAACTAATATAGTTAAAAATAAATCAGATATTCATCCTTTTTTATACCCTTTGACTGTTCGTTTGTTCATTGTTTAACGTACCTCTCGAGAATCTGTCATTCATTTGGAGACACCATCACTTGCCGATGGAGAGCTGCAAATTTTGACCTATGCTCGGCACTCAGGGCCATTGAGCAGTGTGAGATCTTTTTGGTGCCAGCACCTACTGTGAAAAGGGACTTCGGTTTATACGCTCTTATCCGAAGGACCGACCTCCAAGTCCCACAGTAGGATTCGAACCTGCGACGTAAGGATCAACTTCTTACTCTGCGACTCTAGAGCAAACGCTCTAACCACTACGCCACGCGGGCGACTATCCTTATCTTAAAATGCACAACAGCCACAAGATTAAAGGACGGTTCTTTAGGTTTGGTACACATTTTCCATTATTTTCACAGACTACCTTTCTACGATTTAATTGAACTTTGGTCTTCGACAACGTGATATTGCAGCGTTTTTATAAGTGTGATATGCTTAAGTGTTTCTGATTTTGTAAATTATATGCAATATTTGCAGGCTGCAGCATTGGAAAATTTGGCGAGTTTTGCTTAGACTGTCAGTGTTCAACTTGCGACATCATTAATGGCTCATGTCGTAAGTGAATAAATTAGACCTAAATTGTGTGAAAAATATGAATTCTAACACAAATTCCTTCGATCTTAATTTCATATGAGTATATATTTAAAAAAAAATCCCACCTTTTTTTAGCTACAGTATGTAGTGAAAATTGCCGGGATAGAACATGTTATCAGTTTTCTGGATATTGTACCAATGGATGCAAAGACCTTTATTATGGGCCAAAATGTGAACATCAGTGTAGTTCTAAATGTAATTCCCAGAGCTGTGATGCAGTTAATGGTGCGTGTACTGGATGTAAGGATGGCTTCTACGGTCTATTTTGTAACCATACATGTAGTCCATCTTGTAAATTTAACACTTGCGATTTCCATACTGGAGAATGTTATTATGGATGTAAATCAAACTGGACAGGATACTTTTGTAACAGTAAGTGTCTGTAGCTTTTATGCAAATAATAAGTACGGAACATTAACAGGATGTTCAATTTTTAGTGTAACAACAGTATAGTAAAATTGTAGTAAAGTTTGCATAGATGCCAGCGATATTTTTGATGTCAACGATTACGCGGTTAACCAAAAAAAAAAAAAAAAAAACAGAGGTCTGCTTATCTGTTGTCACAACGGTCTGTTGTTTATATATATATATTTTATAGTGCATTTTCCAAGCAGTTTTTCATGAATTAGAAATTAATATAAATCCTTCTACAGAATGCAATGATTCGCACTTTGGGCATAATTGTTCTGAGAAGTGCAGCATCAACTGCAAAGGTCGAATGTGCAATAATATCACTGGAGTTTGCAACGATGGATGTGACACTGGATTCTTCAAGGAGACTTGCAATAAAAATTGTAACCCCGGTTGTTATAACGGGTGCAACAGAGTTACAGGCTATTGCGATAATGGCTGTGTCGAAGGTAAATTTGGTACGGAGTGTCACGAAAACTGTGGATCTGGCTGTCTTTCAAAGGGCTGCTTACGTTTTAATGGAAACTGCAGTTGCGCAGAGGGATGGAAAGAGGATAAGTGTACAGGTAAAATATAGTCAATAAATTTCTGTAAGAAATCGCAATATTAATTCCAAAAATATTCCAAAAATACATTTAAAATGAAATTGTTTGGAAAATTAATGTGTGTATAACCAAAAAAAAAAAAAAAAAAAAAAAAAAAAAAAAAAAATTGAGTTCTCAAAAAATTCTTCTTAATAATCATTTTATAAATAGAAACTACATGGCCATTGTCTTGAATGGAAAAAAATGTCTTGTATTTAATTGGTTTGGTCTTGCTATATCTACACATAACGAATTCTTTCAAGGATAATTTCAATTATATATAGAATATCTACTTACTGATGGTTTCTCTCTTTGTGAATTTGTATTTGAAGAATGTAGTCCATACTTTTATGGTAAATTCTGCGAAGTAAAATGTAGCCAGCATTGTTATAATTTGACATGTTTTGCTAACAATGGATCATGTATTGGTGGATGTTCTGGGGATTTTACAGATGAAAAATGCACAAAAGGTAATGGCTAAAGATCACGATAATTTCATTTATTGAATGAAATATGGAGATAACGAACAATATTTAAGTTTAAAGTCCATGTAAACAAAACAAACTGGGAGAAATCAAACACGGACCTCCCAAAAAAAAAAAAATCATTAGAGATTGGATAAGTGCCATGGAGCAGTGAGCATCCCTTTCAGACCGGCCACACCAACCGTGTGCTCCATGCCTTGATCGAGAAAAACGCAAAAAAAAAACCTACACACAGCTCAGTGGGTAAATAATGGCCCAACAATTTGTTAATATCAGACATACGCAGCTAGGTTAAGGGCTCCCATATCTACGTCAGCCAATGCAGAGGTTCGGAAAAGCTATTATGACTTCAATTTAAAACAATTCAAATGAATCTCAATAAATAAATACTATATGTCCTTTTTAAAACACACTGAAATACTTTCGTTTCTCATAAATATTATAAAGATAAATGGATGTGCAACTTATCTTACCAAAATAGCACTTTGAGTATATAGAATGAAAGCCAGCTTGATCGCGCTGTACTTACTGAGATGACGTCATTTCTTAGTTTGACACGCAGTTTCTCTGTACTTGAGACGTGGATCAAGCTATTATTGTAGCTTGTAAAAATAAAAATAAATACGAAAAAAGCTTAACTGGACCAAAATAAATACATATTTTAAAATATATTAATCCGTATTAACTATTTTATTTTCAAACTAAATTGATAATGTGTAGACCTTATATATATATTTGCACGATTGAAATGTTTCTCCAAAAGCCTAATGATTGGTTTAACATAGTACAATAAAAACTAGGTTTTTTGTATGAATTATATTTTCTTTTATAAATCAATATCTTTTAAAAATGATCCCCCCCCCCTAAAAAAAAACCTCTCCGTCATCAATCTGCACGTACTTTTTCTGTTATGTTTTTAATATTTATATCATGCTTCCACATTCCTAAACCTATTGATTTATATCACTAAGAAAAACCTATAATCTGATTTATATCTTCAAGAATTTCAGACGTCGGCTACATATAAAAGCAGTACAAAAGAGGTGCCTACAATGTATAACGGTTCTTGGTGTTGGGGTTGGTGGTGCTTTAGTCATTTTCCTAGTTGTGATAGTTTCAGTTACTGCATGCAGGTTTGTTTACTCATATCATATTTAAAAATAATTCCTTTTGTAATTGATCCTGATAATTTAGAAGTAATAATGAGAAATATGTTTGTTTATGAAAGCAAAACATTAAATGCAGTCGAGTTTTAACCAAATTTAACTATCTTGTATAAAGTACACACAGTGCGCAAATTTACTGGTAGATATAAACAACTTGTTTGTAAATAAAACCTATTGTTCGGTCTTGTTAAGTTACAAGTTTGTTTGTTACTTAACACTTATGCTGGATATTATTATCTGATCAGTACTAGAGGTTAACGTTGAAATAGAATGCGAACTCCTCTTAAGCACCTGATTCCACTTTTTGTGCTTCCATATTTTGTTTCCATTTTCACGATTTATATTGATAACAATATCTATGAGATTGATAGCGAATATTTTCCACCTTTTTTATGTAATTAATTTCTCAACAAATGATAGTTAGTTCAGACCATGATATTACACCTTTGTTAATACTACAATACATAATAATTTAATTTTGTTTGTATACTAGCCTCTGATTGGTTAATATCCAAAAAGGAACACAAATTATTTCTGTATAACCTGGTTTGGTATGGGGACACACCCCCCTGACAACCAGCTGAATCATCTGTATCCATACAATCCTCTCATTTCCAGTCCTCGGGATTCATGGAAAATTCCAGATTTAATAAATGTACCTTTAATTTCAAACAATAATTCGATCTTACCACATGTAACCAAACAACATGGCTGCTATGCCTATGTATCAGTTTTTACCTCCCCTCGATTCCCATCACTTCCGTTACTTCCGTTACTATGGTTGTATTATTGAGCGGCAAATTTGAACTGATAAAAAGTAACGAAATTTTACACCCATAGTTATTTAATGATTTTAAAATTAAATTATAAGGAATGACTCTAATTCTTGGCCAAATTATTCGAGTATAACCTGGTTTGGGTCAGTTTACGCTGTTTTATAATCCGCTTCGCGGATTATAAAGCGTAAACTGATCCAAACCAGGTTATACTCGAATAATTTGGCCAAGAATTAGAGTCATTCCTAAAATATCTCACCTATTTCTAGTTTATGTATGGTTGCCCAACAATCAACTTCGATCTATTGAAATGTTTGGGTTTTTTTGCCTTGATTTCTCTTTTTATTTTTTTCTCGGTAATAAAAAATCCAGATTTTCCGGAATACAAGATACATTGCATGACAAATTTAATATAGCCTACCTATATATCCTTTTTCATTAGTAAATACCAAAAAAATACGACAAATAGTATTGTATTGACATCTGTTTGATTAATTAAAAGATATTATAACGATGGAACATATGATAGTAAATTTATTTTCATTGCAAATGTAATACTATACATCACACATAGAATTAGAATGACTAATAGATGTAACCCTATATACTCGCCTGTAAGTCGGTCCGACTAAAAGTGGGTAGTATTTTTTAAGCTCTTATTGGAAGGATTTGCCATTGATCCGTTTATAAGTAGATAAAACTTGTTGCCAGAATCGGTTGACACCTATATTTCAAATAATGTTGCGAATTGGCGCTAAAATTTATAATTTTGAAGTGCTCAATGTCCACGCCATATTTCTTTCTGATAATAAATGCCACACTTGATTCATTTGTTTTTTAAATAGAGTTAAGAATTTTATTCTGAATTATTTTTTAATTAATAAATTTTAAGTCTATTATTAAATTATTTTAAGACGGTACATAAGAATATATTTCAATCGCAATTTCGGGTTCGTATTTCAATTTTACCGATATACCATAGATCTGTAATAAGTCACAATTTATTGAAAGACGTAGATAAGTAATTAGTTAAAAAAATAATACACAATACTACAAATAAATAAATGATAAGTAATTAAAAATATGAAGACTTGTACTTTAAAGTAAATTATTAGAATACATAAAAAATAATACGTCCAGACATTTTAATGATAATTATCAGAGTTGTTTAAAAATTACTACATTAAACCGCCCAGAAAAATACCAATATTTAAGGAATGGGCTATAAGTCGGACATAGAGTTTTGAATTAAATTAAACTCCAGAAAACCGAGTGTATTCTCTAATATGAATGTTATATAAATCATTTATTATTATTATTTTTTTTTTTTTAATTATTTTTTTTTTAAATGGAACCTTTATCTAAATGTAGTAAATGCTTTTTAATCATTCAATTGTCGCCTTTAATGCTCTGTAACCTGATTTTTTTTTCATTCAATTATTATTTTTACTTTGAACTAAGGATAAGAAGACACACAGAGAGTAACAATTCCTCAACCTTGGAAATCCATATGTCCTCTAGTATAAACACAACGGGTAGATAAATTATTTACCATTATACATTTAACTCTGAATCATACTTACATATTATTAAAAACTAACATGTTCAAAATGATTAAGCAACTTAATAGAAAACTTTGTAATAAAAAAAGAAAAGAAAATATCTTTATTGATTTCCATGGAACAAAGACGACAAAATTATATTTTACAAATATTAAAAATCAAGAGTCGTTATTTGTGTGTTTAAAGACAATTCTTGTGAAAATAATAATCAAAATGCCTATTGTTTATGAAAAAAAAGTATTAATTAAATCTAAATATTTAATCTGAACCATACTTTCAAGACTCATAATGTGATACAAAATCATTTGTTTTTCTTTCGAAGGATACACCAACATGGCATTTTTATCTGTCCCCATTGAAGACCCTGAAGAAGAACCCTATGAAGAGAAACCGGAAGAAGCCGTTTACTATAATAATTTGTCAATGGCTATGGACATTAGTATAAAGGATCTCCAAAATATTATCAAACAAAGAGAAACAAATGAAAATGCAGGATTTATCAAAGAGTTCAAGGTATAACTGTATTCAATACGACCTGAATTTTCGTGAAGTAAAATATCATCAGCAAACTTGTTTCATTCCACTTGTTTAACCTTATATGCTGGAATTACATTTTATTTTCTTCCTTTGTGTTCATAAATTTCATATTTTTACTATTTTATCTGTTTTACTTTTATGGGCATTACACACTACCTTTTTTTTTTTTTTTTTTTAAAAAGTCGCTTCCTTATGGAGTCAGATTTGAATGCACAACCTCACACCTAGAAGAAAACTTGCCGAAAAATAGATTTAAAACAGTATTCCCATGTATGTATTTTTTCAGTATATAATTTTATTGTGTCAGGATTTCAAAGATAGAAATAAGATACAAATACATTGAATGTGGTATTTGATTTCATTTACAATGAAAATAACTTGAATCACTCTGAAAAAATAAAATTATGTCATGTTTCTTGAACTGCTAACATTGCTCTTGGTTTTAATTGATAAATTAGCAAATTGAAAATAACTTTAAGAAAATCATGCTGAAATTCATATTAAGAACCAATTTATGATCAATGATCACAAAGACTTGAAACACGTGATGAAAGGCACGCTATAGAACTTTACGGGATTTATGCATTTGAATTTGGTTTGAATCGAAAATATTGAATACTGCATGCATGAAAACGTCTTGTTTAATAAGATGAATTTTATTACCTACATTATGAAATAACTAATTTGATAAAAATACTATATAGTATTTTTTTTTTAATTTAAAACATTCAATTATTTTCTTTTATTTATTCTTTTTAAAGATGATCATTCAAGAGTTCTTCTGGAAACAAAGGACGGATATCTTTCAGATTATATAAATGCAAATTACATTGAAGTAAGTTAATCAACACACCATTGTCTTAATAATTAAAATATTATCAGTTTTATCAGAAGTCCAGGAAAGTGTTTTAATCAGCTATTTCTTCTTTTTTTAAAGA